AATAAGTCTGAAAAGCTGCAAATCAGAACGGAAGTACAGAGAGTTGTTGCACAGCGATGATACACCGTCTCATCTGGTTGCATTGGTGGGACCCGGCAGGTTTTTAGAACATTACATAACAGGGTGTTGACAGTACAGTAATTGCCTGTTTCAAGTCGCCTCGTCGTGAATCTTTGGTCTGAACTGGGTTTAAGAGTAAAATTGGGTCAACAACATTCCACTGTTGTTGTCACTCAGACCAGTCTATCCAGGCCCAGAGGCGTCACCTTAGTGCTTAGTTATTCAGGGGCCAGGCAGGCAGTCCTGCCAGGACCCTGTTGTTTTCCTGCTCCTTATATCTTCTTCCTCTGATCCTACTTCCGGTGCACGAAAAATCACCAAACTTTGCACAAAGGTCCAGTCCTATGCCAGATTTGCTGAGCTACAAACACAAGTCAATAGTCCTGATGGTGGCGCTACAGGAAGTGTCCAAAGTTCAAAACTTTGAAAATTCACAACAAATCGATCGTATGTGCTACAGATGTGCTATACCAAAAGATAGTCCCAATACTGTAGAAATGTGTACATTTAAAGCTATTGCAAATTATGAAGTCCATCACCTATCATCCAAACCTATCTCCTCCCACAATTTTCGCTCAATTGACACCAAACTTGTGACAGAGCATCTTCAGACTGTACTCCACAAATTGTCCTCACAGATTTTTGATTTATCAAAAATTGAGCCTACAGTGCATCAAAATGTTTGACTGTAAACAGTACTGTAAACATATACTTGCAAATTCTTGCTAAATAAGTTTTCAGTGCTCATGAAAAAAAAATTAACAAAATTTTGGAGTCATGGTAGATGATGTTCGCCAAATATCAGAATTTTGTATCAAAAACTGAATTTTTGACAGCATTTTGGATTCTGTCCTCGTGTGAACCATTGCTGTCCTTGGGAATAGAGCATCTTTACACACCAGTTTTTTCCCTTATGGAGTAAATCAATCATTGTTAAAAAAACAAATTAACAACATCTCCATGCTGTCTAGATGCAATATGTGTATTTTCAGATTTTTGTCTTGATAACTGAATTTTTGACAGTAGTGTGAAATCTGCCTTGACAGCTGCTGTCATCCTGGTGGTTGGCTTAGTCAATTTGTGAAGTCAGAGAAGAGTTGTCACTTGCTAATTAGCTCAGTCAGATAGACGGTGCTACTTGGTGTCAGAGGTTGTTAGTTCAAGCCTCAACTAATGCAAAATGTATACTGAAATGGCAACTTTCTTATTGTCTTCCTATTCTGCCTCTTGTTGCTTCGAATTGCCTAAAATTGCCTGGCCCTGACCATTGCTGTGCAGCAGCTATAATTACTTTGTTGTTTTTGATGCATTTAACAAGGAACTGGACGTTTTTTTAAAACCATTGAGACTAAGGATGTATCGATTGGGAAATTCCAGGCCGATACTGATACTGATGCTTAAAATAACAATTTGACTGATAGCCCATACTGATACAGATGTTTTTTTGTTGTTGTTTGCTATGATTTTGTTGTTATTTTTTCCCCTTTGATACCATGGAAAGAAGAAATCTTCACAATAAAAAATTAACTGAACTGTTTTAAGGTCTTCAACCCTTCTCTCTGATTGAGCACAAATATAATCAAGCAAATTTTTGAAGCAATATAATTGACTTTCACATGAAAACCATCTCTAACTGTCCTATATAATACATCAGAATTATATTGCTGTCAAGACATCAACAAATTCATTCTTTAAACAGCTGCATTAATTTAAGTTTCTGGCCAAAACTTATGTTTTATAAGATTATATTTTCACACACCATGAGAAATTTATAAATTATCTTTACTGAATACTAATTTTTACTCAGTAGAGCTTGAACGCATCATAATGTAACTCAACCTCTATCAGGAGTAAGTTGCAGCCACTGACTGCTAAAAGCTGACAGCTAACGTTAGCGAGCTCTCCTCCTGCTGACTTTAACACAGATTTGTTGTTTTACAATGTAGCATCATCAGGGACTGCATCCTTTTGTCCAGTGGAAGATCTCTGTTTGTCCCAAACATGTTTTCTATTGTCTCCAGCATGATGAAAAGCCATTAGTGTGGAACCCCTACTTTTTAACCCTGTGCAAAATTGACATGACACAATGTAAAAACATGGGACACTACCATCGGTGGATGCCACTGGCAGCCAACAAAGTGACTATCAGCAGATACATCAGTGCAAATCAGTAGAGGAAAGCTGTTTAAAAAGACATAAACTCAACTTAATTATTTACCTTTCACCAACATAAACAGGCACACTCTGGTCTCTAGTCGCCATACAAGACAACCTTCAGGCTTAAATGTAGGACTGTGACAATAACAAAAATTTTTGATACCAGTACCAGTGAAATTCCATGATTCGTGATACCCATTTGGATACCACTGTAAAAAGAAAAAAGAAAAAAAAAGAAAAACAATAAATCCCCTGTACTTACACAAACACTCCTTTCTTTAAAACATCTGTATTAAATGAGATTTTTGTCAGCGATGAAACATATATTATACACAGCCTACAATATATTCACATATTGGTCCTCCATTGTTGTTGTTTTTCTTTCGCACTTGCACATGTGAAATGTGACGATTGGTTTTTGTGGTTGGCTATTTGTCCTGCCCCTCCTCCACTGTGATTGGGTGGCTGGGTGAAAAGTAGGGCTGCCCCCTAACAGTTGACTAAACATCAGTCGAACAGAAAGGTCATTAGTCGGCAAGATTCCATTGGTCGCTTAGTCGCAGGAAAGAAAAAAAAACTGGAAGTGTCCACGCTCAGCAGTCAGACAGGAGTCAGGTTAATTTCCAGGGCTGGTACCTGCGGTTATTCCACAGGCTAGTTAATAACATGTCGGGCAGGAAATCCAAAGTGTGGGATCATTTTGAGAAGGTGAAGGACTAACCCAAGGTGATATGTAAACTCATCTTCATTGGTTGACTACAAACATGACGTATCATCTGAAACATGGAAGTAGCTACATGCCCATTAGCCCACAGCGTCATTAACAGGCGGCTCGCTCAGTGTGTGACGTGCACTTGGAGATAAAATATAGGCCTATATTAATGAAGGTTCATTAGTACGGTTTTGTATTTCTCTGTAATGTAGCACAGTGTTAACAATGTTACTGATACTATTCTTTCTCACACCTTCAACTCAAACCACCAAAACATATCATTTAATCATTACATTCATATCAGAAACATGCGGGCGACTAGTCCACTGATGGACCCTGATGAGGACTGTTGGTCCACTGGGAAAATTCTTAGTAAAACAAAGTAAAAAGTGACAGTGCGGAGCACAGCGTTTTACCCAACATTGAATATTTTTCAACTCTCAGAGATCAGAAAAAAACGACTGTGCAGTGCTCAGCGCCTCGTCACCCTGCTGGTGTTTGTAGCAGAGTGTAAATATGCGGCACTCCCACTGCAAAGAATCTGGAAAAACCACTTATTTCCAGTGAGTCAAGGCTGAGCTGTCAGAGCAGCTGCATTTTTTGCCATCTTCCACTTGTTAGGTTGTTATTGTTCTTCTGTGCTGGTAGACACTCCAGGGAATTCAGATCCTGGTAGCTGAGATACCTACAGTACTGGAGAAAAACAAGCACTGTCACATTTTAAGAATTTTGGCATCGACTTCAATCAATCAATTTTATTTATAAAGCCCAATATCACAAATCACAGTTTGCCTCACAGGGCTTTACAGCATACAACATCCCTCTGTCCTTTGGACCCTCACAGTGGATAAGGAAAAACTCCCCAAAAAACCCCTTTAACGGGGAAAAAAAACGGTAGAAACCTCAGGAAGAGCAACTGAGGAGGGATCCCTCTTCCAGGACGGACAGACGTGCAATAGATGTCGTACAGAACAGATCAGCATAATAAATTAACAGTAATCCATATGACACAATGAGACAGAGAGAGAGAGAGAGAGAGAGAGAGAGAGAGAGAAGGTGCCCGGTGTGTTACGCCTAAGCCAGCCTAACTAGGGGCTGGTACAGGGCAAGCCTGAGCCAGCCCTAACTATAAGAGGAAAGTCTTAAGTCTAGTCTTAAATGTGGAGACGGTGTCTGCCTCCCGGACCGTAACAGGAAGATGATTCCACAGGAGAGGAGCCTGATAGCTGAAGGCTCTGGCTCCTGATCTACTTTTGGAGACTTTAGGGACCACGAGTAACCCTGCGTTCTCGGAGCGCAGTGTTCTGGTGGGATAATATGGCACTATGAGCTCTCTAAGATATGATGGAGCTTGACCATTTAGAGCTTTATAAGTTAACAGTAGGATTTTAAATTCTGGATTTTACAGGGATTGGTAGGAGGCCCCGAAGCAGACCCAGAACACACCGGAGAGATATACCTTATCTGTCCTGGGAATGCCTCAGGATCCCCCAGGAGGAGCTGGAAAATTTACTGGGGAGAGGGACACCTTGCTCAGCCTGCAACCTGGACCCTGATTAGCGTATGAAAATGGATGGATAGATGAACATGAGGAGAGTAAGAAAACTTAAACGACAAGACGATGGCAGAGGATTTGGTGTTTAAGTGAAAAGGAAAAGCACCTACATGGAAATATTTTAGATTCAAACCCAGTGCTAATGTTGAATCTGACAGCGTTAAAGGGGGAAAAAGGGTTGGTTACACCGCTTCACTCCTCTCTAACAGTATCTACAGGTGACTCTTTGTGCCACTGATTCAATCAAAGTCTAAATGCAGAATTTAATGTGAAGCTGTTTGATGCTCAGAGATCTGTAGAAGTTCAGTAAGGAGTTTTTGAGCTGTGATGTGAATGAACAACAACATTTCTCTGTAACATCTGTGTGTTTCCTGTTTCCTGCAGACGTCCAGCAGCTGTTGGTGGTTAAAGAAGAGGTTCCCCCTGAGCAGCAGGAGTGGAGCTCCAGTGTGGACCAGGAGGACCCAGAGCCTCCACACATTAAAGAGGACCAGGAGGACCCAGAGCCTCCACATATTAAAGAGGAACAGGAGGAACTCTGGATCAGTCAGGAGGGAGAGCAGCTTCAAGGGCTGGAGGAGGATGATATCACCAAGTCAATATCCACTCCTGTCCCTGTGAAGAGTGAAGATGATGAAGAGAAACCTCAGTCCTCACAGCTTCATCAAAGACACACTGAACAGATGGAAACATAAGCAGAGGGAGAGGACTGTGGAGGATCAGAACCAGCCAGGAACTCAGATCCAGATACACATTTACAACCTGAGACTGATGACCAGACTGGAGAGTCTTCTGAACCTGAGACTGATGACACTGATGACAGTGATGATTGGACAGAGACCAGAGAATATCAGTTAGGCTTAAAGTTTCTTAAAAATGATGAAGACCCTGTTAGTGATTCGAAATGTAGTGCTGATGAGAAACCATTTAGCTGCTCTGAGTGTGGGAAAAAATTTGGTAAAAGTGGAATTCTGAAAGGACACATGAGAACTCATACAGGAGAGAAACCATTTAGCTGCTCTGAATGTGGGAAAAGATATGGCCGCAAGCCTGATCTGAAGAGGCACATGCTAACTCACACAGGAGAAAAACCTTTCAGCTGCTCTGATTGTGAGAAAAAATTCAACACCAAGACAGGTCTGAAGAGACACATGTTGATTCACACAGGAGATAAACTTTCTACCTGCTCAATTTGTGAGAAATCTTTTGTACAGATTGGATATCTACAATTACATATGAGAACACATACAGGAGAGAAACCATTTTGCTGCTCTGAGTGTGGGAAAAAATTGCGCACCAAGACACATCTGAAGCAACACATGAGATCCCATACAGGAGAGAAACCTTTCAGCTGCTCACTTTGTACGAGATCTTTTACACAGAGTGGAAGTTTACAGAAACACATGGCCTGCCACACAGGAGAGAAACCATTTAGCTGCTCTGAGTGTGGAAAAAGTTACCCTCACAAGTACTCTCTCGTTCTTCACATGAAAACCCACTCAGGAGAGAAACGTTTCAGCTGCGGTATTTGTGATCATAGATTTACTCACCCCAAATACCTCAGAGACCATAAGTGTGTTGGTCGTCAGTCCTCACAGCCTGATCGAAGTCAAACTGAGGAAAACAGAGAGGCAGAACTTCCAGCCAGCAGCTCAGCTGAACAGATGGAAAAAGAAGCTGATTGAGAGGACTGTGGAGGACCAGAACCAGCCAGGAACTCAGATCCAAATACTCGCCTCGTTGGCCACCTATCAGCAATTAAGATGACATTGATTGATGCTGTAGCCGCTGTTATCCTGTTGTGTCACATCAAGACCTCAAGAGTAATGGCCACAAACTTAGATTGATGGGCAGCTAGAACACGAATACAGTTTTGGGTGAGAAACTTTAATAAATACAGAATTTGGAAGGAGACTAAAAAAAACAATCTCTTTTTCAAGAGCACCCTGGCCGAGGCAAGCAGCAACATAAGTAACAGACACAACATAGAACAAAATGTACATCTCCCAAACAAGCAATATAAAACCCAAAGATTACGACAAAGAAAAGACAGAAAATATGTTGATATATACTAGAGGTTAACCATAAAAGTGCGAAAAGGGCAACTATACATGATTACAAAGACCAGCTAAGACACACCGTGACATTGGCATGTAGAAGACTGTGTACAAAAATCCTGCAGCAGTGCTTTGAAACGGCCGAGAGGAACCAAAGAGTGCAACTTTGAGTGTCCTGCAGAAGATTCCACATATAAGGACTAGAGATGTACCGATACCACTTTTTCCTTCCTGATACCGATTCCGATCCCTGAACCTTAGGTGTCTGCCGATACCGAGTACCGATCTAATACCAGTGCGTAAAATAAAAATGGATGGGATATGAATTGTTGTATGTCTCAACTCCTAAAACTCTATGTAAAATATTAAGAGATAAATACATAATAGTAGAATGAATGCCATAAAACTTTATTTTTATTATTATTATCCAGTGTTGACACATATCAAGACACAGATTAAAGTGCAGCCACACAATTTGGTAAAAAAAGACATTTTAAAGGCTACAGTAGAATGCTTTTTAAACTCCGCTCCGTTTCCATTTCGTTTGCCTGTAGCGTGCATTAGTGATGCACGGGTCGGGTTTTTTCCAACCCACGGGTCCCGCATTTATGAAATAATTTGACCCGCTCCATCCCGCCCACACAACTGCATCTATTTTCACAACCCACCCCACCCCGCCCCTGTCGCTATTAACTTATCCGTCTTGTGGCTCTCATGCTTGTATAGCTTATCACAGGAATTGCACTTCACGTAGCCAATGCTGCTGTCGTCTGCTGCACTAACTAACTCACAGAAACTGTCCCAAACATGAGATTTAGCAGCTTGGCCTTCTTTTCTTTTAACTCTGTACTCTCCCGACTGTAATCTTTCCCTCACTTTTTCTTCCATCTTCACCGCTTCATTGATTCTGGTTTGTTGTGGCCGCTGCTTGGCGCTTATGTGATGTCAGATCGCAGGTTACGTTACGTAACATGCATTTACCTAACCTACAACAGTGTTGTTAACAAGTAGGCTATATCCAACATATTTAATCTTTAATGACCCGCCCCACCCGCCCCGCCAATAAAGTGAACATTTCTTGACCCGACCCAACCCGACCCGCGGGTTACGGGTCAGCCCGCGCATCACTAGCGTGCGTATGCATAATGACGTGAGGCATTACGTGGTATCAGATTGGTCATAGGCTGTACTCGCCAATACCCAAAATAAAAACCCAGTTTCAGCTTCAGCTTTTTCGTGAGTAGTTCAACATCTAACACAATGCCCAGATATTTATAAGATAAAACACACTCGACGCTCGTGTTCTTTTGTGAAAGCCAAGGTGAAACTTGTTTGTTTGCCTAAAAATGCTTCATTGTAAACAACGAACCGTTGTTAAAATCTGCAGGAGGAGGGCATTGTACATCAGTCCATTGTGGTGCAATTTAGAATTGTTGTGGTGGTGGTGAGGATTTGGGACGAGGGTTCAGTTTGTGTACGGCTGTGGGTAAAAACTGTTCCTCAGTGTGGACATGCAGCATTTCAGGGTCCTGTAGTGTCTTCCAGAGGGCAGTAGTGTGAACAGGTGGTGAAAGGTATGAGTTCTGTCTTCAGCAGTCCTGCAGGCTCTGCTGTGGCAGTGAGACCTGTAGATGTCCTCTAGGGGGGGCAGGTGGGGGGACTACAATCTGGAGAGCTGCCCTTTCTGCCGTCAAACAGTTCCCACACCAGGCCGTGATGCATTATTTATTTGAGTGATACACTTGATGTGGTGGCTGTAGTTTTTTTTTATCTGATTATTGTGGTTTACTTTTATATGCTTTACATACTGGGTATATTGATCTGTTGGGGCATATTTACAACATAAAAAATTAATCGTCCCGTCGTGTTTCCCCCTGACACCGCTGGGTGCCATTAAACTATAACGCTGGCCTGTTGTCCTCATTCGTGGACACTTTTTTTTGTGCCATCTAGTGGTAGTCAGAGCACAATACACTAAAACAAGATGGCAGCCATCTCTGCTGAGTCAGTCTGCAGCCGATCCTGACACCAAAGTGGACAAGGCCCAAAACCTGATCACGTCTTATGGTTGAAACTTGTTCATTTATGATTAATAATGTTCATAATTTAATATGGCAACAAAGTTTAGAATTATTAAATATTAAATTAAAATTAAAAAAAAACAACAACCTCATAATAAATCTCATAATTATGACATAAAGATCTCAAAGAAAGTAACCTTTTCCATCATGGAAATCTCCATTGTCACATCAATCCAGTCATTTATTGTCAGACCAACGTGCATCAACTACAGAAGCTTATTGCATTCACTTGACAAATTTAAAGAAGATTTGTTTTATTGAGTAATTTTTTTCTGTTTTTCGTGGTAATTTTTTTTTCTGTTTTTTTGTGGTATTTTTTGTTTTGTTTTTCGGGGTAATTTTTTTCTGTTTTTCTGAGTGTTTTTTTCTGAGTTAAGAGAGCAAAAGAACAACAGACACTTTAATTCCTTTCTTGAGAGCTGGATATAATGGAAGCAAACATGACCCGCTTGTTTAGTTTAATCCAGTTTTACTGTCTTTTGGGTTATGTGTCCAACTGATTCTGGAGAAACACTGCAATGTCCAGCAGATCTGAATGGGCTTTTCGTCTGAACAACCACAAAGTCTTAAGGTGCCTGTGTAAAGTCACCAAACCAATGATAACACCATCTATTTGACTTAAAGACAAGAGTATCTCCCAGTGTCTCAAACCCAAAAGAAAGTAAAGTATTGATTTGATGGTTGATTATGGAAGCGTATTGCATTCACTTGACAAATTAAAAAAAATCTGTTTTATTGAATAATTTTTTCTGTTTTTCAGAGTATTTTTTTTATTTTTCTGTTTTTCGGTGTAATTTTTTCTGTTTTTCGTATAATGGAAGCAAACATGACCCGCTTGTTTAGTTTAATCCAGTTTTACTTTGTTTTGGGTTTGAGACACTGGGAGATACTCTTGTCTTTAAGTCATATAGATGGTGTTATCATTAGTTTGTTGACTTTACACAGGCACCTTAAGACTTTGCGGTTGTTCGGACGAAAAGCCCATTGCAGTGTTTCTCCAGAATCAGTTGGACACATAACCCAAAAGACAGTAAAACTGGATTAAACTAAACAAGCGGGTCATGTTTGCTTCCATTATATCCAGCTCTCATGAAAGGAATGAAAGCGTCTTTTGTTCTATTGCTCTCTTAACTCAGAAAGAAATACTCCGAAAAACAGAAAAAAATTACCCCAAAAAACAAACAAACAAAAAAACACAAAAACAGAAAAAAAATTGCCACGAAAAACAGAAAAATAAAAAAAAAATACTCTGAAAAACAGAAAAAATTATTCAGTAAAACAGATTTTTTTTATTTGTCAAGTGAATGCAATACGCTTCCGTAATCAACATCAAATCAATACATTTTGACTCAGGAGGGTTATAGCCTGAATATATATGAAATTGAAATCTAAATGCATATTGAAGATGGATTGTATTTCTGTGCAATAAGTCTGATATTTTTTTTTGGTATTCCCTAAACACATGGTCATGGTTTGCAGCCACCGCCTGTAATTTCGATAACGCTTGTGGACTTTTATTTTGAAGCTCAGGAACTCATCTGCCCCCGGAAGCTGTATTCTTCACTCTAACTTCACACTGTTGACCAAAGATGGCGGCTGGTAGAACCAAGTGTTAGCAGAGTGTCTTTGTTGTGTTTTTAAAGTGTGAACATGTCTAAAGTCCAAATGCTGAGATCGTTGGTGAAGCAGCGACTAACTGCGGCTGCTGAAGAGATATTTGGGCTGTTTGAAAGAACGATAGCAGAGTACGAGGAGGAACTTTGTCGATCAAAAGAGGAGAACGAGCGACAACAGAAACTACTGGACGCTGTTTTCAACCCTCAGCTTCAGTTAAACGGAGCAGGTTTGTTCATTAAACCTTCACTCTGTCGATGTTTAAAGCCACGTTAGCTTCTCTGGTGTCGTTAGCTTCTCTGGTGTCATTAGCTTCTGTGGTGCAGTTAGCTTCTCTGGTGCTGTTAGCTTCTCTTGTGTCGTTAGCTTCTCTGGTGCCGTTAGCTTCTCTGGTGCCGTTAGCTTCTCTTGTGCCGTTAGCTTCTCTGGTGCTGTTAGCTTCTGTGGTGCCGTTAGCTTCTCTGGTACCGTTAGCTTCTCTGGTGCTGTTAGCTTCTGTGGTGCCGTTAGCTTCTGTGGTGCCGTTAGCTTCTCTGGTGTCGTTAGCTTCTGTGGTGCCGTTAGCTTCTGTGGTGCCGTTAGCTTCTCTGGTGCCGTTAGCTTCTGTGGTGTCGTTAGCTTCTCTGGTTCCGTTAGCATCTGTGGTCTCGTTAGCTTCTACATTCCCTTCGGATTAACGGCTGATCCTGTTAACTGGCGACTTTCAGCTGGAGGCGTTAGTGATTGTCGTCATGACAACTGTTGACAGCAGGAAGAGAAACCCAGCTGTCCTCCTTCATTCCTCTGTTTAGTTTTTCTTTCCATTGTCAAAACACCTGATCTGTGTTTGAAGTCTTGTTGGAGGAAACTTGTCACATCTCACCTCTTCGTCTGCAGGTTCTGACTGAATCACCGTGAATTTTTAATACCTTAAATGTCATTACAGTTGTTAATCACAATAAGATACTGGATTATTCTGAGAGAGGATTGTAGCAATCAACTTTTGAGTTCACCAATGCTGCTAATCAAAACCATCCCTTTTAAACATTTTTAAAAAAAATAGCATACTAGATATGTATAAAATTGGATTTTTTGCCAATATCTGGTATGCAGATATATACGGCCGATATTTATTTATTTATTTATTTATTTATTAAAAGGATTCCCATTAGCTGCCACTTAGGTGATGAGTTTGTCTTCCTGGGGTCTGTCTGTCAGTTACTATGTCAGATTAGGCGATTGTGGAGTCATACAATCGTCCCGTGACTTGGCTGATATACATGACAAACTACACGCTGGTCCAGGACTAATCACCACTGGACATCTTTGACAATGTGTGTGATGTCACTGGATGATTCTTGTCCTATTTTTATAATTATTACCATTATTTCAGTCACTGTGTCTGTTCATGTGCCAGTCGAAATGTTATTGTAGTAACTAAAAAGCGCCAACAGGTGGCAGAAGCTACATTTGAAGTACCTCATGCAAGCTATGTAAGTCACTGAATCCTCCACAATAAGTTCCTGCAAATGTTTCACAATAAAAGCATTTTTTTAGAAAATGAAGGGATTCTCCCAACTGAAATTATAATGGGCTTTTAATTTCATACAGATACAGGAAGTGCTGAGTTTGAAACCTGCCATTGTCTCCTACCTTGCTTCAGCCGTGTTTTTATTAAAATGAATATGACATCACATTACTCGTAGATTGCCATAATAAAAGTGGCAACTTTTTTCCATTTCTGTCTTTGAAGTGTGTCGATTGAGACATTGAAAAAATGTATTAAAAAATTGTAAACAGAAAATTCTTGGTACTGAAGTGAATCCTTTTTTTCCCACCCCTGACACATATTCTATCGTTGGATTATAATTGTTGTATTCATCACTGTAATGTTGCAGCTGGTAAATGTGGAGCTGATTTAAGTTATATATATTTTATATTTTGTGTTTCCTGTTTCCTGCAGACGTCCAGCAGCTGTTGGTGGTTAAAGAAGAGGTTCCCCCTGAGCAGCAGGAGTGGAGCTCCAGTGTGGACCAGGAGGACCCAGAGCCTCTTCACATTAAAAAAGAAAAGGAGGAACTCTGGATCAGTCAGGAGGGAGAGCAGCTTCAAGGGCTGGAGGAGGATGATATCACCAAGTTCCCATTCACTATTGTCCCTGTGAAGAGTGAAGATGATGAAGAGAAACCTCAGATCTCACAACTTCACCAAAGACACACTGAACAGGTGGAAACAGAAGTTGAAATAGAGGACTGGGGAGGACCAGAACCAGCCAGGAACTCAGATCCAGATACACATTTACAACCTGAGACTGATGACAAGCCTGGAGACTCTCTTGAACCCGAGACTGACATCGATGATGAGTGGAAGAAGACCAGAGAACCTAAGTCAGGTTTAAACTTTATGATACATGATGAAGACCCTGTCAGCGATTGGAGATGTGGTGCTGGTGAGAAACCATTCAGCTGCTCTGAGTGTGGGAAAAGATTTGGGAAAAGTGGAAATCTGAAGCGACACATGATAACCCACACGGGAGAGAAACCATTCAGCTGCTCTGTGTGTGGGAAAAGATTTTACCGCAAGACACATCTGCAGGAACACATGCGGTCTCATACAGGAGAAAGACCCTTCAGCTGCCCAATCTGTGAGAACTCTTTTACACATCGTGGAAATTTACAGAAACACATGATAATCCACACAGGAGAGAAACCCTACAGCTGCTCAGTGTGTGGTAAAAGATTCCCTCGAGAAGGATACTTAGCTCATCACATGAGAACCCACACAGGAGAGAAACCTTTCTGCTGCAATGTTTGTGACCAAAGATTCACTTGGCTTCACCAACTCAGAAACCATCAGTGTGAAACTGTTTAGCTGCCTTAAGTGTGGGGAAAAATTTAGCTGCAAGACACTTCTAAAGAGACGCATGTAAACTCATACAGGAGAAAAAAGTTTCTGCGGCTCAGTTTGTGTGAAATCATTGAGACAGAGTGGACATTTACACTCATGAAAAACCACACAGGAGAGAAACCACTTATCTTCTTTGAGTGTGGGAAATGATAAGAACCAAGAGAATTCTGAAGCAACACAAAAGATTTCATAGAGAAGAGAAACCTTTTGGCTGCTCAGTTTGTAAAAACTTTTACATAGAGCAGGGGTTTGCACACACATGATAATCAACACAGGAGAGAAACCCTTCAGCTACAGTGTTTGTTAACAAAAATTCACTTTGCCTAAACAGCTCAGAATCCATCAGTGTGTTGGTTGTCAGTCCTCACAGCCTCATCAAACTCAGCATGGCCTCCAGCCAGCAGCTCAGCTGAACAGATGGAAACAGAACCAGATGGAGAGGACTGTGGAGGACCAGAACCAGCCAGGAGCTCAGATCCAGATACACATTTACAACCTGAGACTGATGACAAGGCTGGAGACTTGATTTGGCCGCAAGAGCTTGAGGACATGTGGATTCATACAGGAGAGAAACCGTTCAGTTGCTCAGTTTGTGATTCAGGATTTCCTTGGAAGGAAAAATTTCACATGAGATTTCATTTACGATAAAACCCTTTTTTGCTGCTCATTTAGTGCGAAACATTTCACACACGTTGTGAAAAACATAAGAATCCACACAGTGAAGATATTTTTCAGCTCTCAGTTAATGGTAAAAGTTTTGAAAGCGCTCCAGTCAAAGTTCAAGAAAATCATGTGGAAGATATGATGCAAATATGACGTTTCTGTTTTGTGTATGTATGTCAAGAAGGTTACAGTGTCCTAATCGCTCCTCAGAGGTCCACGTTATCAGCTCTTCAGTCAGTCACACGCTTCATTTTTCACTTTGTCGCAGTTTGTTTTTGGTGTTGATACACAAATTTTTCCACCTCAGCCAGTTGTGGAAACTTTTTGCAATAATTGTATTTTTTTCTTTCATTTCCACTTTCATTTTTATGCACAATTTCAAAATGGTGTATAAAGAGTTGACTAGGTTACGTTAGGCTTCGGGGGTCTGGAGGTATAGTGAAACAATTTTGGTACAAAAAAGACTAAGTTTGGAAGACGCCTTGTTGATTTGTTTGAAGCATCATTCAGCTGTGGCTGAAGCTAAGAATGTATTACTACATTCACTATCGTCTGTTTTAGTAAACATCACACTACTTTGCACAATTTATCCTGAGATGCTGGCGCAACAATATGTAAGTAAGTTTGGTTGGTAGTGTTTTCAGCAGGAGTAGGGCTGAGGCAGTAGCGGGCAGACGGATGTGCCTGGCTGGTAAGCTGTGATGGCTGGCTCACTGTCTCATGTTATTCCCTTGCCACCTACAGGAGACAACAGTCCTCCTCTCCAAACACTGTAACAGCTCCTCTGTTTTTCTGTGTTCTCCGTCAGCTACACTTAAGGTCACAAGCAGACCCACCGCAACCACTCCAGACAGAACGAACAGGCTCTCAGCTTTGCCTTGTACCTAGCAAAGTGTAGCTCGTCCCTCCAGAATGTTGTGATCACAACAATTAACGCACATTCAGTCAATCCCTGTGAATTCTGCTTAACCTTGCAATTTTGAACCAATCACTGCAACTTCACCACAAATGTGACCAATGAAAAGGGGTAAAAACTCATTATATTGTAGAGCTTCATGCAGCGTATTGATTTGTTGAGCTCTGTGCCCGGGACAGAGTCGCACAAACACAGTGACAGGGCTAACTGGCAGCTCCACTAGCATCACACAGCTACGTTACCCAGCAGCTATTAATTGGCTTACCGTCAGAGTTGAGCCGTTTGGGTGTTGGTGTCAGATGTAAACCGCTGCTGCAAGGCTTTTGCCCAAGCGGCAAAATCTGATGAGTAGAGATGATGTTGTGCTGTATTAGCTTGTGCGAATTGCAGCATCAGCAGCTGATTGTTGGCACAAATAGATTCTTATTCTGTGGGAAAGGGTGAATGCTTGTAATATTAAGCCCCAAATCTGTGACATTTGAGCAATTTTCACTGGAGCTGGCGTTTCATCCATCCATCTGTCCATTTTCAGCTGCTTATCCAAGGCCTGGTTGCAGGGGCAGCAGGCTGAGCAAAGTACTCTAGATGTCCCTCTCCGCACTAATGCTTTCCAGCTCCTCCTGGGGGATCCTGATGCATTCCCAGACCAGATGAGATATATAATCCCTCCAGGTGTTCTGTGTCTGCCCCGGGGCCTCCTTCCAGTGGGACGCGCCTGAAACACCTCTAAAGGGAGGCGCCCAGGAGGATCCTGATCAGATGCCCAAACCACCTCAACTGGGCCCTTTCAATGCGAAAGAGCAGCAGCTCTACTCTGAGCTCCCTCCAAATGTCCGAGCTCCTCACCCTATTTCTAAAGCTGAGACCAGCCACCCCACGGAGGGAACTCATTTTGGCAGCTTGTATCTGCGACCTCATTCTTTCCGTCTCACACTTCACCGCAAAAAAAACGCACCCTCTAGAAAGAGTGCAACATGTATTACAATTTTTTGAAAAGCTACTGTGAAATTTTAGGACACAGCAAAAACCTGGAGGTACTGATTACTGTTACGTTAGCATTGGCATGGTCAATTTAATGTTAACATAAGCTAACTAACATGGTTGACCTTTATTTTCCAACTTCCCAATGACACCATTTGCTCAAAAGTACTGTATGATCAACCAAAATTTTTCGGCACATGCCAGTACGCCCTTATTAGCATTATTAGCACAGCTGGGCTAACCCAAGGATAATTTATGAGCTGGCAGAGAGGTCAGTGGTGAGCTGAGGTGACTCCTTGCAGACAGCCAGCGGCTAGTGATGGAAGCCACTCTCTCAATTATGCAAAACTAAAAGCCTTAATGAAATGTAAACGGGTGAGTTATATATTTAAAAAAAATTCAGCCCCCGTACAGTTGTCATCAATGTTGTAATTAGCTATAGAGACCAAAACTGTTTTTGTACCAGGCTGTAACTTTTATTTCTGCCTTAAAGTTGGACATTTGAACATGTCATCTTTGGGGATTGACTCTGTTTTGGAGCCAGCCTCAAGTGGCCATTTGATGAACTGCAGTTTTTGGCACTTGCTCATTGGCTTCATCTTTCAGCCTCGACGGTCGCTGCCACAGGACAGAGTGGCCCAACTGTGACTGAGAGGATGCCTCGCCAATAAGAGTTTTACTGCAGGTCATTGTACTTCCCCATATACCCAGCTCATCTGTGTAGCTGCCCCGTTGGCTGATATGCATGTGTATGTATATGATTAATTATCTTTTATATGTTATTTTAACCTAACAAATGAATCATACCCCCTCCAATATAAATGTTCTTATAAATGTTCTTTGTAGTGTGTTTTATTTGGACCCTGATGAAGGCCATAATCTGAAACGCACTGGTCTGAAAGTCAAGTTGTTCTGTTTACTACAGGCAGTGTTTAAGTTCCTCTGTCCATGCACCTTGGATGTGGTATCTTGAAGTGGTCACTCAACACACTTTTCGACTGCTAACATCACGAAGCGCAAGCTCTCTCCAAAGATTTGGGTCGTTTCTGAATCCTCTGCACACAGCGCACAGATCTTAAATTCACAAGGACAGTTGGTCAGATTGTACCAACACTGATAATACATGTTCTATAAACCACCTATGCAGTGTTTCCCAGACAGAGGTTTTACTTGGGTCGCCCACCCTGGTAGAACTTTTTTTTATGTCTCCTCAACAGCAATAGCCTGGGTTGGAGGCATCATATTATCAGGTTGTCCGTCCATCTGTCTCATTCTTGTGAACATGATATCTTATGAAAGAATTTCTTAAGATTTGTCCACTTGCATTCAGCAATGAACTCATCAGATTTTGGTGGTCATAGGTCAAAGGTCAAGGTCACTGTGACCTTGTCAGTCTGCTTGTAAACATGATATCTCAGAAACACTGTGATTGAATTTCTTAAAATTGGACACAAACACTCACTTGGATTTATTGATGAACTGATTGAAATTTGGTGCTCAAAGGTCAAAGTCACTGTGACCCCAGATTTACATCCTGGAGATCGCAGTTTATGTCCCATGCTGTGATGTTACATTACATTGGTTACAAAAGTGCTTATCCTAATCAAACCATGAGTTATTGTTGTTAGTATGTTCCTCCACCAGGTGACACTAATGACTCAATAAAAGACAAACCTCTGTTTGCAAACCTTGCCGTGTGCAAAACACCTCAACACTGTTTTGGTTGAAAATGACTTTTGGTCATTGGAACAGTGAAGACCTGTTTTATCATGTAGACACATCCGGTGCCTCTTGTGTTGTGTTTATAAGGGTGAGGGAAAATAATATTGTAAAGTTCTGTTTTAATTCCATCCAAATATTAGTTTACCCAGTTTGTTCCAAATGATTAAGTGCCATCAAAAGACAATGTGGTTTTAAGAAAACCAACACATGGTTAATTTTTTCTTAACCATGTTATATTTAGTGGATCATTTTACGACCCAATCACCAGAATAAATGTTGGCATTATGTTTCTGCAAACCATGGGTATGTTACATTCATACTTGTTTATGTAGCTCATATGTTAAGGGCTGTGGGTTTGGATAGGGCATAGCTGCAGGAATGTGTCACTGCTGGGTACTGTGCGACTACGCAGTACACTCGTTCAAGCCGGCAGCATCGTGTCTGCCTCATTTCTTTCTGTCTCTCTCTCCTTACAGGTAAGAACAATGGTTGTAATATGTTTAATAACTGTGTACATATATTTTCTGAGTTACTAGGAACACATTGGCGTTAAATATCTTTGTCAAAAGTCATTTTAGGAGGTGAATTTAGTTAACTAAAACATTAGAGTGTTGGCTTGCTGGCAGCATGTTTGGTAGCATGGGTCAGGCATGCAGCTACTTGCATATCATCAGGGTTTGGGTGATGGCTATGTGCCAATTTACTGCCACGCCCCAGTTCTCTATACAAGAAACTATGTTCATCAAGATATAGAAAGAGGTGAAGTTGAGTCTCTGCACATAGTTTTGTGCTGACGTACCAGTTGGGCTTCAGTGACCATCTGCAAAAGCAGAAACCCACTTGTCTCTATTCAAACACAATAAAACACACCAGTCTGAGGTGCTGAAGGCACGGACTGCATCGTCTCCCAGCAAACTTAGATATGACATCTGCACAGCTGCTTGGAAGTGTCAGAATCTTTTGTATACCCTGCATGCCTATTGATAGGCTACAAATTAACATATTAGTTTTAATGAAATAGAAAATGGGACATTCGGTTCATTCATTATTTGCTTCTTAACATTACTGTTGTGTGACCTGAATTTGTACAGTTATATCAAATCAATATATTAATCTTGTGTCACTGGTGAACTTTGATTAGAAAACCACTAAAAGGCTGACCACTTGGTCCCCAATTGATATCTTGCCAACATCAGATGCACACCTGTCTAAAACCAATCAGTTGCAAGTATAGGGTGACACAGGTCACCTAGGTGGTGACAATAGGATGTAGGTGTGTCAGGTGTAAAAAAAATAAAGTGTGCCAGTATCACTGCAATGTCAAACAAAAACCTTGGTTGGGAGTTGCAGTTGCACAAAGACCCTGTTATGTAAGCAACATGTTTTTACATGTTTTTCTAACCCAGGCGCTTGCCTAGCTCTGAGTATACAGGCATTACTCATGTGTGAGATGAGATGTACAGGGAGCAGTACACCTTTCCTAGAGACAGCATAATTTATTTGTGTTGGTCATGTAGGGAATCTTGCAAATGAGCTGCATTTTTATTTAGTTTTTTCATCTTCATCCTTCTAACCGCTTCATCTTCTTGAGGGTCGCGGGGGGGGCTGGAGCCTATCCCAGCTGACACTGGGCGAGAGGCAGGGTACACCCTGGACAGGTCACCAGACTATCACAGGGCTGACACACAGAGACAGACAACTATTCACACTCACATTCACACCTACAGACAATTTAGAGTCACCAATTAACCTGCATGTCTGGAGCACCTGGAGGAAACTCACGCTGACACAGGGAGAACATGTAAACTCCACACAGAGGGGCTCCCACGCCCGGGATCGAACCGGCAACCCTGTTGCTGTGAGGCGAGAGTGCTAACCACCACACCACCGTGCCGCCCTATTTAGTTTTTTATAAACCTTTTTTTGCATTCAGGTACTTTAGGATAAAACTGTTTTTCGACAAAGTGCATCTGGTGAGTACAGCTGCAGCAACACAAAGCTATTTGTTTAACATTTAACGATTATTTGTGTGTGTGTGTGTGTGTGTGTGTGTGTGTGTGTGTGTGTGTGTGTGTGATTGACTGTAGTCTTCCTCCCATCCACTATTCTTTGTGTTTATTGCAAATCAGATAATATTAGTGTGGCAAGGCTACGAGAGTTAAATTTACTTTTGTTAGTTAACCAGTGTCCAACAACACCACCTAGGGGAATTTCATCCCCAGGAAATCTATTAGAGGGGACCAACACTCTAGATCTGACAATAAGGTCACACAGGTCCGAACAACACAAGAGACTGACGTGATTCCAAGATAAATTTATACACAAGAAAGTTTTATTAACAACACTTTAAAATTCCCAACCTTGGACAAAATCGCTTGGTGGTGAGGCAACCAAAGAATATAATAATAAGTGGCCGAATATTGCACAATCCCTTAGGGCCTCCTAGTGGTTTGGTTAAGTTTGCTAATAAAGTGCAGCAAATTGGCCCAGGGCTGAGGGCTCACCAGGCAGAGATGACTAACTGAGGGGAAGGGGAAGGGTGCTGACGCTACACACCACACGTGAAGAAAAAAAAAAACACACCGTTGAATGACACCCAAGTGCACTACTGTACAGGAAGTGAAGGGAACACCACCGCGGGGATCAGTCAGTCACTCACACACACAACAGCTCCTGCCCAAAGAGAAAGAAAGCAAACTGTTAGTCAGGGCAAAGGAGCAAGAAAAAAATTAAAATAAACTGCCCAGACACCACACTATACTGGGGCCAGAAGGTCACCACCAAGGTTGATTGTGCTTTTAACTACCACTCACACACACACAGTCACACAGTTAACCCCCATAAACAAAACAAAAAAAGGAAGAAAAGAAAAACAAATTCTACACAAAAAAAACTACAGAAAATAAATGAATGAATGATTACAAAATCTGTAAACAACAACAAGGAATATCTAGTTACAATACAAAAAAGCAATAGTTAACCAAAGATTGATAGGTTAGCTGATGAGGATCAGTCTTTCCGGTGCAGCTTTAAATCCTACACTGCGTTAAATTCCTCTACAGAGACACCACATGCGGTGCAGCACTCAATTCTCGTCCAAGGGAAGTTACTCCCGGCGTGCAAAGCAGCAAGCTCGCACACCCAGGGCTTAGTTTCAAAACAAAAACAAAACAAAACCATAACAGTGAAAAAAAAACAAATGCAGATGAGCTGCCGCGGCGAACCCATAGACAGGACAGAACAGAACAGCAGTAGCGCAGCGGCCCACGTCAGAGAAGGAGCCACCTGCTGTGATATTAAACAGACTAAAATTACTACACCAAATTACAGTTAGATGGATTAAAACAAGCAAATTCACACATACACACCCGTAAGTTAAGGCTCAGCTTTGCAGGCAACAGGGGAAGTAGCGGTAAAAGGATGCAGCTTAACTGCCAACAGCAATCAGAAACCAGTGTCACATTTCATATTGTAGTGGTATGAGATACCACTCCCACACCGAACACAAGTCGCGGCCTCACCACGCCCTGTCGGGGCTATTAGCCTATCACCGTTCAGGCGAAGGGGATAAAGGAAGGCCGTGTCGGCTCTTCCTCCTGATGTCTCGCTTCCTGCCTCTTCCAGGTCGTTGCACTCGCCGCTCGCTGCACAACACAGGTATGCACACCTTAGCATTGTATTTACATTCGGCTGCGTGTTATGTATCTGAAACCGTAACCTTTTTATTAGGTCCGGCGTCTTACCTGCAGTCGAGGCGATTATCCAGGGTGGTCTATCGCTGCCGACCGGAGCATAGCCTGCTGCACGTGGGATGCGCGGTGGCTGCCTTCCCCTGCCGCAGTGACTCTCTTCACCCCTCTCCCTCTTTGGGCGGACGCCGGTTCTACCCAGCTGGCCACCAGAACACACGGACACTAAGCTAAGTAGGAGCATTGCTGTTTAATTATGGCCTTTTAGCCACGGCTACTGCTACTACTGTTACCGCGGCTACCGCTGCTTCGCTGTTTCGCTGTTGCTTCGCCGGCTTGGACTGGGCTTCCTGTCGGCTGCGTGTGTGTCAACCTGCTTCCTGCTGTCGGCTCGCTCTCCTGCTTCTGCGAGTGTGGTGCGGCTGCCGCTCGTGCTGACCGGCTCCCGATCAGTGGGACGCCACGAGCTCAATCAGGACTTTCAGCCACCCATCTGGACTGGGCTGTGTGTATGTGTGCGTGTTAATCAAGGTTTAGCTTAATTGTTTTGTTTATTTTCTTATTTAATTATTGGTCGATTCTCTTGAATTTCTGAGTTTAGTTCCTTGTTTTGTTTTTGGGAATTTATTGTAGCCTAATTAAGTTTCATTTGGGAGGGGATCTCCTCAGTTTGAGTTCCCAGTTATGTGTTATATCAGTTATGATGATTTACTATTGAGTTGATATCTCTGGCCAGAGACTCCTTAGTTTCCTTTGTGTTTCTTTTGTTTGGTTGATTTATTATTGATCTAAATCCATATTTGTCAGTTTATTAAATCACAATTTGTTTCCTAATGTTATGGGATATTGTTTGTTTTCTTTCTTATCCTTGAGCCTTGACTGTGTCTCTCCTTTTTCCCCAACAGCTGAAAGCCGACGGTGGTGATCCCCTGTGTGCTGTGTGACCCCTGTTCAAGATTTGCTTTGTGTGCACTTCACGTTTTTGCTGTGTGTTTGGGGTGCTCTCCCTTTTCTTTTTGGACTTCACTCCCCCTTGTCACCCCCTCCTCCAGCCGGTAAGCCTCAGTCTGTATCCCCTAGTTGGGCTCTCTTCTCCTTTTTGGTTATTGTGCCAAACCCCGTTGTTTGAATTAATAAAATATTTTTTTTATGATCACTGAACTCCATCTCCTGCCCTCCCTGAGTGAACGAACCTGAGTGTCTTTCTGGTGATAGTTCACCTTTAAGATGGGTCCTTGGGCCCTACCCCAAGGTGGCGTTGTCGGTAAAGAGATCCCCTAATATATAAATTAATAATCACCCCCTCGTGTTGCCACAATATGCAGCCCAACAAATGCGCATTAAGAACGCGAGACAGAAATGAGCCAGCCTACCTCAGGAATCCAACGCAGCGCGTGGATTATTACGCACGGCTCCGAGGCCGCACACTTCCGACTCCCAATCTCCGGCCCGAATACAAGCTGACTCTGCTGGAAAGCAGAAAGCGCATCAGACATGCCACCAATATGACCCAGAAAGGCAGCGAGCTCATCGGAACATACCTGCAACAATGAACGGAGGAAGACCGACAACAAGCGTCTCAAGACAGCCACGTGGATCCAACACAGCCACGCCAAACACGCTGCTGACGCGAAACTCAGGCTCCAGGAAGAAGTAGGATGACGCACAGCTTGCTACAGCACCGCCCAGTAATCAAGGTGGAATAGGATAATTGCTCCCAGCTCGGCAGCATCCAATGGCCGGGGAGCAAAGGAGCGAGCCTACACCGCTATTCACACTGATCCAACACATACACACAACCAACATGAGTGGAGACGGGCTGTGCCGTCCTACCACATTAGCATGCTAACATGCTAAGCCATGATGGTGCACGTGGTAAATGGGCCTGCCAAACATAAACGATTTAGCATTGCTAACATGTTAGCATTGTGAAAGTGTTGGCTAAAAGGAGCACTGAACAGCCTCTTTGTTCATCAACTTGAGGCCTAAAATTTGAAGAGTGTAGTTTTGGTTTCAGGAAGGGAGAAGGGGAGAGAGCAGACGAGTGTAATGGAATAATTACCTGCATGTCCTTACCTTTGTTACCTTGAATGATTTTGTTGCTACTTGCCTGTCTTTGTTTTTGTTACTGGCATGTCTTTGTCACCACATGAAGAACTGCAGTTAGCATATTTTAAAGTAACTGTGTGTATGATTTTAAAACTCGTTTCTCTTTACTTTTTATTTTACTGAATTTATTATTAAATTATGGTTATGTAACAGGATTGTTTCTTTTTTCTACAAGCTAAAAGGTATACCATGAGATCATTTGAAAGGTGCTGTTAGGACGCTCCTGTGACTCAGGGGTAAGGTTGCAGACTGTAATCTGCAGTATTGCTGGCTCAAGTCTGGAGACAACAGACCTTAAAGCTCTGATCAAAACCTTAACTGCTGTAGATGAGGTAGATTGTGATTACCATAGATACTGCAATAAAATATATTCAATGCAGTTATGTTCTGCACTAGTGCGCAAGCTTCAAACACATTTTCATGGACAAAAAAAAAACTTTCCCATGACTTTTTAAGGACCCATGAGGAATGCTGTTATTTGATTTCTTGCCCCACCTGCCTGGAGTTTTCAAACATAGCTAGACCACACGAAGAAAGAGCCCGAACGCAGGGAGAAAATTTAGAAACATATCTGATGGTAAACAAAACGTTGTCATTAGAGCTACGTTACGAGGACAGCTACAGAAAATAAATCTGCTGTTGTGTCACATTAAGGAAGGTTATCTACAGAAGATTACTGCCACAGTTTCATTACACAAAACAAAATTCCATGACTTTTCCAAAACTTTAAGTGATTTTTACTAATTCCTTGACTTTTCCAGGTTTTCCATGACTGTGGGAATCCAGAGTGCAGAATGTCTGGCTGGACAGCTGCTGTCCCACTGATTGAAACTATGACACTCTTCTGTCTTACCGTTGGTGAGTTCATCACAAATAATTTTTCATTATTGCTGCTATCAGAAACTCATTTCACTGTGCCGCGGTTTGAAATGATGACACTAATTTCTAAGTTCTGAAAGAGAAGCTTTATATTTCCAAACATTCCCATTTACCTCAGATCTTTAGAGATATCTCAAGAATGCCCCCAGGGAATTGAAATTTGGTGCAAATGGACTCATTGTTGAACTGATGACTTTTGGTGGTCATGGCCATGGTCACTGTGACCTTGCATCTGTCACGTGTCTCATTCTCGTGAACACGACATCTCAAGAACATCTTAAGGGAATTTCTTTAAATTTGGCACAAACGTCCACTTGGACTGAAAAATAAACTGATTTGAATGTTGTGGTCAAAGGTCAAGATCACTGTGACCTCACACCAGAGTTTTGGCCAAAACTCAAGAATTCATTCACTAATTATGACAAAACTTCACACTAATGTCTAACAGAATAAAATAATGAAGTGATGAGATAGGTCAAAGGTCAACTTCACTGTGACATCATCATGTTCTGCATAAAACACTTCTCTTATTCATCATCATATCTCAGGAACAGAAGGGGAGACATTTGACATTTGAGGGTTAATTCAAGTTGGTACAAGTGTTACAGCCTCTTTGTGATCTCTCTGCCTGTTGGTGTGGTTCCTTTACTCAGTGTCTGTGTTTTAACCTTTGACCCCTTCAGGTGTGACTCCACCCACAGCCAGTGTAACTCAGGACGTCTACGAGGCAGAGGAACACAGTAACATCACACTGACATGGCGCTTCCCTGTCAAGACTGCCGTGTCTGTTGACTCACTATACATAGACATTTTGTATGGGGAGCCACTGAGGAGTATTTACCTTTATGACACAAGGTTTGAGGCTCAGCTGTACCAAGATGAGCTCTACAGTGGACGAGTGGGGTGTGACCTAGAGCTTGCCAAGACAGGACGGATTGAATGTCTCTTCACTGATCTGAGGCTCAACGACACAGGCACCTATGTATTTATCGTTGTTGTCAACGAAGACAGTCACACCCACAGCTGTGACCTCAGTGTTACAGGTAAGCTGACATCGCTCCTCATTCAGTTAAATAACACATTGTCCATGACAAATTGTGTGTTCCACACAGTCATTCAATGTAGAATGTTATGATCTCTGAATATAAAACAGCCACTTGCAAACAAAATGCCATACATATATAGTTAGATTAAAAATACCTGTTGTTCCTATTCTTATATGAATATTTAAAGTGATCACCACAGCTGTTTGGTCTCCACCAACTCCCGTGAAAGTATTTGGCTGTTTAGCTACTAAATGCTTCCCTTTCTTTCTTCTTGAGATACTTGTAAATTATTTGAATATTTCTGTTTTCTTTAGCTTAATTCTTACACTGCTCTACACTTTGGCTTAGGCTTTTGCATATATGTATATTATTAATATAAAATATTATCAATTAATAAATTACATTAGTGTATAAAGGAATTCGAATTAGCACCACCTTCGCTGGCTGCAATGTTAAAGTAATGTTTATATATTATTAATGCATTAATAGTTATAATTTAATATACGAGTTATTCTTTACTTTGAATTAATGTTTACGGAAGATTGTTTTCTCATATTTGTTTAATCTCTTTGCAGCCGCTAGGCATCTACCTGTGAATGCAACATCAAAGCCAGCAAGCAGAGGATGGAACGGGCTCTATGCAGGATTTGCTTTATTCATAGTTGTGACAGCAGTATTTGGAGTCTGATGTAGGATTTATGCAAAAGTTGAACGTCAGCCCCACAAGAAAACCGCACAGTAATTTATATCTAATTCAAATGATCAATGTGTAGGAGAGTGAATTTTGATCACTTAATTAATTAAATAGAAACGAGACCAACACTGTTGGTCTATGCTTCTTATGTTTAAATTAGAATATAGAAGTTTTTAGTTAAATTATGTCTGTTCGATCATATAGTAGAAAAAGAAATACAGTGGGGAAGGAGCCTATGGTTCACTGATGAAAGCTCTTGCATTTCAAGTATTACAAATTGGGTGTCTGTGGTGACATTCCCAGGACAAATTCAAATTGAAGGTCTATTTTTATCATGTACGCGACAACTACAGTGAAGCAGTAGTTGGAAATAAAAAATCTTATCTAAGTTAAAGCAAAATCTGAATCTAGAACATGAACTATGACATGTTTAAATACAGAGCTAAAATATAAACATATGTTCTGTGAAATGATAAAAAAAGGGGGTGGCACGGTGAGGTCAGTGGTCAGCATTGTCGCCTCACAGCCAGAGGGTACCTGGTTTAAACCTTGAGGTGGGGAAGTTTAATTGGTGACTCTAAATTGTCCATAGTCTATCTCTGTGTGTCAGTCCTGTGATTGTCTGGTGACTTGTCCAGGGTGTACCCGCCTCTCGCCCACTGTCAGCTGGGCTATGTTTACAATACCTCAATAATGAATTCAATATAATAATAATAATAAACAATAATATAATAATATTTTTTTATAAATATATAATATATAAATATATAATATATATATTAATGTCGAGTGAAGAACCATTAATAAATTTTGCTCTTCTGATCTCAAAGGTCTGGCTGGTGACAACTGCTTTAGAAGTTCTTTTATATATTCTGGGGCCAGACCATGAATTGCCTTATGGGTGATTAATATAATTTTGAACTGAATTCTAAAATTAATGGGCAGCCAGTGCAAAGATGCTAAGATTGGTGTGATATGACATGACCTTCTTGATTTGGTTAATAATCTGGCTGCTGAATTCTGAATAAGCTGTTGTTGTGAGAGTGAGAATTTAAGCAGGTAAAGAGTGAGTTACAATAGTCCAGGCTCGATGATATAAAAGCTTGAATAACTTAATATATATATAAACATGATTGTATTCAGCATCCGTTGAAGTGTCTTAGTGATGAGCTCAGGGCTCATGAGTTCTGAAGTCTTTACTGGTCTTATAATTCAGACTAAAACATACAAACACACAGTCTGCTGTGGTGACCTGTCAAACCTGCTAGTTGCAGGGTTCATAAAACCAGCTGATATAATTAAATTTACCAGCTTAGTTTCAAGACAAATTCAGAGAGGAGGCAAAAGTGCTTTCCTTTGGAACCTTTGTTAACCAGTTGGGCTGCTGCTGCCAGCCTGTGATCTGCAGCATAAGTTTTGGCGTCTTCTCTCTTTTCTCCATTCTGCCAACAAGCATTTTTATTGTCTTCCTGCAACAACTCACCTGACTTCAACACAAAACTTCTGCTTGAGCAAGACTATGTTAGACACAATAGGCCTGTTTCCACTGAAGAAGTTCCTGGTACTATTTGGGGGGCAGGAACTACTACAGGAACGTCCTCTCGCTCGGCCCTCTCAACCGCCGTGTCTCCACTGAGAGAGCGGAGTAGGAGGAAGGTTCCTGTAAAGTTATGGGCTCTGGATGTGACGTAATCGTTGCGCGACCATTTACCGGGGCGATGTAGGGACGCCGTTAGCTGATAGCCCTTAGCGGTGTCTGTAATAACTCACTAAATGGCCCGTGGAAAAAAAAAATTTTTTCCAGCGGATGTCTTAGTTACAACATGATTGAGCTAACTGGAGTAGTTTCATGTCGTATCCGACAACGGGAGGCTTTTAACAGATGACGTCCTGATGTTAGCTTTGCTGCTGCTGTTAGCTGTCCCTGTCAGCGGCAGCCACTGATGCTTTCTAGACATTGTGATTTCCCAGAACTGAATAAATACCACACATAGCAACACAAAACTACTTTGCTAGCTCAATCATGTTGTAATTAAGATATCTGCTGGAAAAAATATTTTTTTCACGGGCCATTTAGTGAGTTTGTTTACATGGTGGTGGAAGCTATGAACGAGCTAACCTCGTCTGCTGAGTTTTAAAAATGCCGGCTATTTTGTTGCTTTCTTTTGTCGTCACATCCCGCCTTGAGTATATCCAATCAGCACCAAGTAAATCCCCAAGCCCCAGCCAGGAGTTTTTTGGGGCTGTTCTGAGTACCTACTCCGAGGCAGGGACTTGTTTAGCCCCTGTAAAAGTTTCGGAACTCTGTCCTTCAGGGGTGGTTCCTGCGGTGGAGACACGCACCAACGGCCCCGGCCCCGTAAAATTACCCCGAAGTTCCTGCGGTGGAAACGGGCCTAATAACAACTAGAAAAGCACTGGGAGAGCGCAGACCTCCGCCAAGCAGTTTGGCTTTCCCGCCATTTTATTATTTTATCCACTTCGCTTCAACCGTTCACCACCAAAATTTTATCATCTGTTCCTTGTCCCATTATCAACCTTTCCTGAAAATGTTATCCAAATCTGTTCTGTTATTTTGCAGACAAACAAACAAGCAGACAAGCGCCGGCAAAAACATAACCTCCTTGGCGGAGGTAATAAAGCTGTCAGACACATAGTCTCATATTGTTAATCTATCTATCTGTAGCATAACCAAGCACTTTCAGTGGACATACGTTAATGTCCTGAGGGATTACAATACAGCATTTTTTTGCTGTTGCCAGCTGCAGCACTTTCTCTTAATACGGGGCCATTTAAAAAAAAAAAATCTATTCTTTTTAAAAAACAACAACACACATTTTGGTCCCATTTCCTCCCCTGTTCTCTCGCTTATCCCCAGTTCCTTGAAGAATTCAGCAGATTTTCACTCTGGATCATGACTGAGAACTGTGGGGAGAGAGTTGTTTAGAGAGGCATCATGAAGTCTGAAAAAGAAACCACATTACTCAGTGGGATTGTGAACTAACTTACAGAAGGAGTCTGTATGAAGTATTTTACAAACTCTGTCTCTCTTCAGTACTTTTATGTGCATCACTGTACATTAAGGTTGAAGTTATCTCAATGAATGTATATTTTCTGTGCAATTCAATACCATTTGCATTTCCATTTTCTCAGTGTGTTTTTATTTCATTTCTTTAATAAAGTGATGAAAAAAATACATGTCTACATTGTAATTTTCTGTTTTTGTTTTTTTTTTCCTCCAAAAAAGTGTATTATATTTTATTGTTTGGCAGTTCATATAGAAGATGTTTTTTCAGCAAACTGGGTAAATTTCAACTTGATGATCTGATGTTTAAGAATTAACAGCCAAATTGTAGATGATCCACTAGGTGGCACTAACAGCTTGATAAAAGACAAACCTCTGTTTTTGAACCTTGCAGTATGGAATAAACTCAAAAGACCTTAATGTCTTTGCTTTGTTTGTACTATTGTACTGTTCTGTTATAATTCAATGCATTTACCCAGTTTGTTCTTAATGATTTGAGTTAGGTAAGTGCCATCAAAACACAAAGTAAAGTTGTTAAGAAATACAACTTGAATGCTTTATGCATTATATTATTTTAAGTGGATAAGAAGATGCTGCAGGGTCTGGTGTCAGTTGAATATCCAACTGAAAACTAACTTCATTGTGATGATAAAGGCAGCTGTGGCTGGCTTGACTGCAGTGGGTGGAGTGACTGGGTGGATGACGACATTTACGTCACACAGACCAAAGTGGACCCTTGCAGACACGGAGGAACGGTGTGTTTGGGTGAGGGGTCATAACCTTAATCTACATCACTGCTTTTTGGTAATGGTTGACTGGAAGTTTCCATCTGAAAAACTTGTAAGAGAAAGCAGATGGACCCGCACTTTAACACAAATGGGCTGTGCAGAAAGTAGAAACAAATAACAGAAACTGTTGTGATCATCTGTACTGTGCAGAACAATAATAATAAAATGTCAGAGAGCAAAAATACATAATAGAACAAGACAAAACAAAACATGTTTAACTGATTTTAAAAGTTTTTTATTAAATTTTTACAGCTTTATTACAGAGTGTACAAGGGTTACAGCAAAAGCAAACTGTTTTTTCTTTTATAAGTAGAATAAAAACTCTAAATAAAGAATTGTTACTGGCTTAATGGCTGGAAGAACAGGCAAATGATAAGCCAATGGAAAAACACGTATTTATGACAAAAACAAAATAAACGAAAAACATCAGTTTCACTGTAAAACAATAAGTTATACACTTGTATGTCAGTTTGATCCAAAGCTTACCTAAAAAAAGCAAAATACAGCAGTGAAATGTATTTTATTTATTTCTCTTGCATTGTTTTCTAGCCTATAAACAAAAAAAAAATGATTGAGGCCTATTCATTAGAAAATGTCAAAACAAATACTGTAAATCACAACAAACAGCATGTATCTATACTTTCTTTTATCATATAGAAAACATTCGCACAGTAACTGTGGCTTACATTTTGTCTCTACAGGGCCGCACCACAGAAATACAGTAGAAATTAAAGTTTATTAATAGCTTGTTAGCATATTGCTGTAGTTTGAGAAACTGCGTCGAGCTGATTATAGCAATTAAAAGACTACTAACTAATGTTAAACTGCAATAAAATAAACTGTGCTACTGTTAAAGGCTCCAGCTAAAAATGCCTAGTCATCATGCTAGCTCGTTAGCTTAGCTAGCTAACGAAGAGTCCAGGTAACCTAAGCTAACTTGTGTCTGCTGAAGCGAGGACAATAAGGTTACTGTGTCAAAACATTTTGATAAAAACGACCTTATCAGACTGTATATTTTACTAAATGCATCTAAACGCACCACAACAAAATGCTAAAGCTAGCTTTTTATGTTTACAGCCTGTAGGCTGAGATTTATACGCCTGAACTGGCAGATATTTCTGGCTAGTTGCGAGCAGGCTGGAAATAAATGTCAAAAATGCTCCTAGCTTTTATGTTTTGTTTCCAGGTTGAACTTGGGGACATCATTCATGGTGCTAAGAAGAAGAGGGAGAGGTGGAGAAGGAGAAAGGAGTGAAGGGGAGAACAGAAGATGAAGCTTCAGGGGAGGTGAGGAACTGATCGCACCACGCTGGTTCGTCAAGGTTTATTTCAACAAACGGGTCACTGGAACAAACCGCTGAAGAAAGGAGGAAAAAACAAGTATGAGACTTTCAATATTAACTCAAAGATATTTGGAAAAATGTGCTTTTCTTCTCTTTTTGGACGTTAAAATCTCGGCTGACTTTTTTAGCCTAGCTTAGCACCGAGACTAGAAGCAGGTTAGCTCCGTCAAAGGTCCCTAAGAACTCAAAGTTTGGTTAAAGCAAACTCAGTTCTGAACACATGTTGACAGATATTAGTTGAAAACATGCTAAGACTGGGATGTAGCCTAGCACTTGACGTATCTTACATGGGTTGTTGTTGTTTTCGTTCTGCTGCTCCTCCCCAATACCATTGAAGAACAGGTTGGTACTGCTCAGTGGGCTGGGAGTCTTATCAGCTGGGTTGTCGTCCAGCGAGGGACTGGAGTTACTGGCGGGTGAAGGCTGCAGACCGTTTGCATCTGGCTGTTCCTGTGGAGCTGGAGTGAGCAGAGGAAGAGAAGGAAAGGTAAGGCGAGTTTAACATTTTTTGAGTGCACCAAAGTTAGTGAAAAAAAAGGTGTAGACTAGAATTTGATGACATATTCAGGTTATATGGACAGAAAGGAACTGAGACAGTCAGGACCCCATCGTCTTCGACATTGTTGTCATTTTTTCTATTTTCTACCAGAGAACCATCTCTCCATTTTTGTCTTCTTGGCTCCTACAGTACATTGACATAGTCCCTGTGATCAGTAGTTGGTAGTTACACATTTTGTTTTCTCTGCCAGATCGATTGTTCACCTTTTTCCTGTTCAAACATTGTACTCCTGTTGTGTTTTGATGGACTAACAAGTGCTATTACACGAAAGTAACCAGTGGTGTAGTGGTAGTTGATGAGGTGGGTGTACAGTTGGGTAGATGGGTAGGTTACCAAGGACGAAATGGGTATACTCTCTTATATATTCCATTGCTTTTTGGCAAATGAGCCTGTGATAGATCAACATTCTGCAAGTGACTGAATTCAGAGTATTTAGTTTTTAATGTTACTGACATCAAATGTTACATTGCAGACAGCAAAAGCACCACAAAGTAGTATCTGATGTACCAGTCTCTCCGTTGGAGCCGTATTCCTCTGACTGTAAAGCTGTGCCGTTGGATACTGGAGGAGGTGAAAGGTCATCGGTGGTCACTTGGTCTTTAGGAGCTGGTTGATCTGAAACACAAACCACGCACACATCAGGATATGCTCAAATGTTAGAGTAATTTTAATGTAACCACACACACACATACCCAGGTCATCCAGGTAGACTGGTTCAAAGGTGCCGATGGGTTCGTTAAGATGGTCGGCGGGAACCTGACGATGGAGGTCAAACGAGTACGTCTGGACAAGCAAATGAACAAACAAGCAAATCAGTAATATTGAAAAATACAACATCAGAACATCAACTAACTGCCTTCATTGTGACATGAAATGAGTGGGTGTGAAATGGAGACGCACCGATTGAGCGGCTGGTGACATGGTCGATTCTCAGCTTCATCTGCCATGACTTTTGATCGGCTCGTCAGTCTCAGATATAGAGATTCTCAGCTGTTCAAATTTCTATGAATACACTGTTCACTTCGCATGTGCTGTGGCACAGACCGTAACCGACTACTGTCACAGCTGCTGCATCCTGATCTCAACACCACAAATACTGAAGCTTTGTCCCGCCCAGCCCGTTTTCATTTTGAAGTCGTCAAATATCACCGCTTTGTCAGTGATTCCAGCATCAGACTTTGACACTAGAAGCTACCTTTCGCATCCGTATGATACGCTGTCCGGCAGCATCAGTTGGTAACATGGCTTGATGGAACCTTTTGCAGTAAAGTGATACGCCACCAGTCGGCCAGTCTGCACCTGTCGCGGTAGTATGATATGCAGCTGGATGCCGTCGAAATGCTGCTGGTAACAACCTAATATAAGGAGCTAGAAAGTCCTTAACCAGGAAGGCCGATGTTCACCTCTCGTAAGAATGCAGAGCCAAACCAATAACCTGGAGCACTTTTATGTTTTGAGATTTGAATGAGTGAGAGTGAAAGAAGGTCCTGTTACCTATTATTTAACAATCAGTGTTTAATTATAAACACACTACTGAATTTTAGCTGAAGAAAAGTTACAAAAATGTTTGTGTACTGTCAGTTATAGTTCTGACAAAGAAAAAAAATTGGAGTCTGGTCAAAATTTAAAAAAAAATTGAAATTTGGAATCGGCCAAGAAAATTGTCATCAGTGCATCTCTCGTATAAAATATGAATTTCAAAGGAAATGTGACCAATAATCTTATTCTCTTACCCTGGAGACTCTCCTGAGAAAGTAGAGGATGGCACACAGAACAATGATCACCAGGATGATTAACACCAGGATCACGTAACCTGCAGACAGAGACACAGAGGGCTGATTCAGTTTTAGCAGCATCAGGTACTGCGTTAGAAATTAACTTATATGTCCACGTGTGACTCAGCGGCTAGTTGAATCTAAAATCTACCAGCCACTCAGTGGATCACAGATGTTTTTGGCTGGTGAGTGAAGCAAATCTAGCAGCCACTTGCATATTTTACCAGCATTTGGCTGGCGCTGATGTCCAACCCTGATCAGGAAGTATATGAGGGCTCATATGTGCCACTTGTATAACCAATGAATTACTTATCAAGACAAATAAAATTTAATTAGTCAATACTTTACACTATATAGCGTGGGGGAGAAGAATAAATAGAACATCCTCATTCGGCCTGATAAACAACACAAACATATAAAGTAAAACATCCTTACCCCAGGACGAACCTGCTGTGCCTGCGATTGCTGCTAAAAGAGACAGACAGCTGGTTACTGCTCAGTACAGTTCAAATACAGTGTCAGTTCATGCCCCCTTGTGGACAACAGAAGCAAAAGAAACAGACGGACAAACTTATTTTCTCAGTTAATTCATTAAACATTTTGACTATCGAATGTCAGGAAACAGAAAAAAATCCCTGGTGACAAAGAATCCAAAACCCACAGATACACTTACTTTAATGTCAATATTTAACAACAAAAAACATCAGATCGTCTCATTTTAGGAGCTGCAACCACCAAAAATTTTATATTTCTGCTTGAGAAAATGAAACGATTGATTATCAAAAAAAAAAGGTTTTTTTTACTACAGCTCAAAGAAAAATTATAATTTTAAACTTGATGTGTAGAAGAGCTGGTAGCACTTACTGTGTGCTAAAGTGACATACAAGGCATCATGTGTGTGTGTGTGTGTGTGTGGTGGTTACAGAGAGTATGAGCAGTTGTGGTTTGACACACAGGAAGACAAACTTGAAGCACATGACTCGCAAATATGCCTCCTGCATCCACATCACTAAGGTACCTGTTGTCAGTGAGGCACTGGTCATCGCTATGGCGACTGTCGCCACATCAGTAGTGACACCACCCCTCCTGCCTCCCGCGGTGCTGACCGGGGCTGTCGTCTGCACTGCTTTGCCATTGACTTCCTGTGTTGTAACCACGTCGTCTGTACTCTGTGGTCCTTTTTCTGGAGTCTGTGAAAGACGTCGAAGGAAGATTACAGTTTGTGTCAGAACTGACTGGATTCGGAGGCCTCTGATTGGCTGATGGATGTCTCAAATATATATTCAGCTTCATGTGTTGATTTTTGATGGTTGGTTCTGTTTTTAAACTGTGAAGACAGCAATGGAAGAAGGATATGGGTGCATGCTGCACAAAATACATAAAGTTTTCGCTTTAAGCATGGCACTTGAGGCTTAATTTCCCCTTAGCTAAGGCACCTACATGAAGGTGATGCATGGAAACCCTTAAAACATTTCCTCAGGAAAGGAAAAACATTAAGGCGTTAACTGCATTTCGAGAGAGTATACAGCGGTAAAATTCTACAATATCCGTGTTTGTTTCGCTCTTGTGACACCTAAGTTCTTTGTCCTTAGTCGGACTATCATTTTAGTGTAGAGCGTCAGACACTTGACGCTCTCATCTTCCAGAAAGAAATAGTTTGCTCTCAGTCCCCCAAAATAATCAAGTCACAAAGACTTGAAACTTGCCTGAGAACAGCTATTTTCCGTAACTTTGAGAATTAGCAAAGCAACACTAAGTGTTCATGCTGTCAGTTTCATAAAGGAAAGGAATTGTTGGAGGGTCACATGCTCCAGGCACATCTCTAAGATGACTTACCGTTATGTTTTGTGAAGATAGATCTGTTGCATTCACTGAGGTTTGAGTCTGAGGAGAAGGAGTGTGCAGTGTGGTGCGGGCAGCGTCATTTTGAGTTGCATTTCCTAACATCAGTGTGTCAGACATGTAGGAGACACAGAGAGTCAGTCAGAGACCTCAGAGCACACCCTCTCACAACACACTAGCACGGGACACATGCAGGATGTGGGTACTGTCACCATGACAGACAGTCCCTCAAGTATAGATGCAGGGTGTCATCAGTCAACACAGTTATGAAACACAGCACCAATTTAACTTGATACCAAAAGGTAGATTTAATCACATCCAGTTTTATCTGACATGACATCTAAATATACAGAAACTTCCCAAGTCTGACATCTTATCTCAGCTGAGGTTGACATATAGGATTTTTGATAGTCCAGAAACGTTTAAGAAAATAATTCTATCATAGGATATGAATTTAGCAACTACCAGGATGCTGCTCCTGTGCGTCTTTCAAAATTCCTTTGTGCTTCTTCAGAGCTGAGCTAGTTTTCCAAACTGAAGTTCAATTAAACAAAAATCCTCGGAAATATTGAACAAAAAAAATCTTATGAGCTGCTGCAGGGTTAGCGAGCTAGCTTGCTAACGAGGTTAACTATGCTAACAAGTAAACTTTGCACATCCCATCCCGGAGTTCGAACCAGGAACACTCTTACTGGGAGGCGACAATGCTAATGCACCACCATGCAGACATTTTTAAATGTATGTCAGAAACATCAAAAATCACTTGTTAATCACATCCAGTGTCACTGTACCTTTCTTTACGTTACCTTGAGAAACAGCAGTTACATTTTGTCCTCTGGAAATTGAAGAAGTTGCTAGAACTGAGACAGAAAGAGACAATAATGAAACATAAAACAAAAGACAGCATTTAAATAAACCTATATGAAAACAGAACACTTATCTGCACACATGCTCTAAAGTTAACAGGTATACTTGTTGACAGCTAAGGTCGTGGTTTGACTTAACAGATCTGCAGCAAATGTGTGAAAAAGGACAAACACTGGTGTGAAAATGTGAGTCGATAAGTAAGATCGAAGCAGGACAGAAGACTGATGACAAACGAGCACATTAAAACAGCATATCTACACATTTATTTGTCTACAGTGACCTCCGACCTTTGACCTCTGTGCTGTTTTGATCTGTGAATTGGCGCCTGATCATCTGTTGACATTATCTGATTTATTTAATATTTTCATATGTAATGTATTCATGTTTTGTGCCATGCACTTGCAAGCAAAATACTTTTTTAATATTTTCTGTCTTAACATATGAAGACTTTATGAGAAATCAGTGGATCAAATGATTGCTCAGTGTCCCTGTCATTTGACCTTTTTATAGCTTCATATTGATGACAGAAAAGGCTATGCTAGATGTGGACTGGCCATCTGGCAGACCAGGCAGTTTCCAAGAGGCCCCACGAGACTTATGGGTAGACACAACTGTCATCTTTGGTTCGTCCATTGGTATATTTTCTTAGTTGACATTGTGCTGGCCCAATCACATTTTTAAGCCCCTCCCCATTTGGGCTCAGTGCCATCATTAAACAGTATCTGCAACAAAAGGTGTGCCAGAATGGATTATACAAAACACGAGGAAGGTGCGGAGATATATTTTAACCCAGACTTTTTACACCGGTTTAGCAACTCGCTGGCTGCTCAGAGTATCTTTGTCTTGTCTCTCACTCTCTGATAGTCTTTGTAACATATTGTCAAGCCTGTTAAAATAAATGCGGGTGACCTTTTGCTAAGCCCCGCCCCTTTGTGATGGTCCAACAAGCTGTCAGAGTAAGCATGGAGCCCACACTGTAACTAACTGCACTCCCTGAAATATGATCATATTTTTGGAGAAATGAAAGAGTGATTTCAGAGAGAAGCAGACAGAGGGGTCTACAGTCTGTGTTTGAAGGATATATCCAGGATGTCAAACTGACTCAGCAGCAACAACAGGTTAAAAAGACAAAGATAGTTAGAAGCTAAAGCCGAACTATAGGCTACAGATCACAGTGTAAAAGTGAACCACCACATCTCTGCTGATCGCCACACAAGACAATGAATATAAAGGGAAACTTTGCTGATATTGAACCAGCTGTGTGGCATCTCAGTGTGTGCAGATGAACAGTGTTTGGCTTCACCCCCGTGCTGCTGCCAGCATCCGGATTTCCACCACCAGATGGACTGCGCACAATGACAGCAGGGTCGATCTTTGTTTCACTTTTATAATCATTAAAAAGCAAAAGCAGCATGTGTATACATTCAGTAGGCTATATCTTCAGTAGCTAGCTAGCTAACCCTACACTTTTCAGGGTTTGATTTTGGTTTTGGAACAGTGAAGAAATGTATATCTTTTTCCAACCTCTCCAGGTAACGAGTATCATTAATACATGACGTGCCCCAGGCACAACATTTAGCTCCATATCCACAACACCAGCCTGAAAATGAAGGAAATCTGAAACAACTGCATTAGAGCTGTGTTGTTGTCGGACCCTGGTCATCTTATGGTTGGCCAGTCTGCTTCAGTGGCATGACTTAGCAAAGGGTCAGTTGGCACTTATTCACCAGCACGGTGACACTTAGAAAAAGAGGGTACGTTTTTGGCTCTGATTTACTTTAGTTATCTTCGTTGTTTGTTGAATAAACCACCATAAAACACATCTATGGATTTCAGCATGACTATATTTCAACGAGTCACAGTTACGAACCTTCTCAGCCTCTTGGCACCTTTTTTCATTGATAGTCATCGCTACAGATACAGAATGTGTTCTTGTACTTTTAAAACCTGATCACATTTTAGTGGCAATCCTAAATATACAGTAGCAAATATGGTGGCTCGAAAACCCATAGGCGCAGATTTTGGAGGGAACACAAGGGATACGCCTCCCTCAGTATTTACATGTGCATTTGTCCCCACCAATAAAACATGAAAGTATCATTTCATGCTCCCTATTTTGACAACATTAAAGACATTTCCACCATAAACAGATGCAGAAAAGCCAAAGATCTGTGCATAAAACTAAACCTGAATGCAGGAAATGAAGTGCTAAACGCTCAAAAAAGAGCTCCAGAGCCTCTCTTTAATATGTTTCCCAAACATTGAATGTATCATATCATATATAATACATGACTTATATTTGTGTGATTGATTGTGGTCCGAGCCAAAATTCCAGGGCCCACTTTTTTGAGTCCATCTCAGGACTATGCCAAAGAAGAAGGTCACGTAACATAAACGTTGAGGTGATGGTAAAAATAACTGTGTTTACCGTCTTTTTCCCTGATAATTCACTTTTAGTGTCGAACTTTTCACTCAGATTTCTGCCTTTGTGTGCTCCGTGTTACTTCCTGCATATGGCAGATGTTTCTGAGTCCTTGCATGAACCTTGATGTCATTTAAGTACATTCAAGTGTGTATTTAAGACTAAATCAAGGCCCTGAAAGTGTTGGTAAATAAATGGATGGCAGTGGAAGCAGCTGAGTTAGAGAGATTTCACCATATCAGGAGGGAAACCACGAGGCTTTCTGCAGCGTCTGATTGAACGGGCGTGAAAACAATCTGAACTTGAGCCTGGAAAGTTTTGAATTTCAAAGTGCGAGTGAGCGCGGGAGATCTGCTTACGAATTTCAGTCAATAACTCGCATGTTTATGTCAATTCATTAGCACTCTGGAAAGCAACATTAGTAAACGAAAGTAAGTTTAAATCTAAACTGGGGTAAGGTGTTAGAGCTGAACTCACCGAGGAAGCAGAGGCGACTCCACAACTTCATCATGTCGACGAATTTACTTGGCTTTCTCTCGCTCTTAAAATATGTTCCTAAAGATGATGGACAGTCATCGGCGTATCTGTTGAGTGTCTGTCCTTTTATTTTCTTTTTGTTGTTCCTTTTTCCACGAACCCTTTTCCTCTTCCTCTGCCTCAACTCTCACTTCTTCTCTACGAGCTTACTGCTTTGTGCTCTCTTTCTTCCTTCCCCCCTCTTCCTATCTCTGCGGCTCTGTCTCGCTCTCGTCGTGTCTCTCATCCCACCTGCTACTCACTGTTTGCCTCTCTTCCTTCTCAGCTTTATTCTCAGTCTTCTTCTCTTTCTTTTAGTCTGTTCTAACACTGTATGGCCAAAAGTATGTGGACACAGAACAGCAGTTTGGTTAAGGCCCCATAATGCAACATCTTACAAAGATATTTTTAGACAGCAGTGTTTTTCTAACTCTGTTGAAGTTCGACTCCTTCTTATTTCAACATGAAAATTACCACCGTGCACAAAGCCAGCTCCATAAAGAAATAGTTTCCCCAATCCCCAGACCTCAGCCTGGAACAAGCCAGACCTGATCACTTGACATCAGTGTTGGAGCTCACTGGTGATCTTGTGTCTGAGTGGACAGTGAAGAGTGGAGGCTGTCATGGCACCTGATTAATGCCTGTGATTTTTGAATGACATGCTTAGCGATCACATATGGTTGTAATATATAGGTGTCCACATACTTTTGGCCATGTCATGTACATCTTGCTTTTTCTCATTTCTGGTACTTTCCGCCTGCTACAGTCTCTTTTTTCTTTACCCTAACCTTTTCCTTTCCCCCCTCTGTGTTTCGACATCTCAACACAGCCCCTCCCCGCCCCTGTCCCTCTACCCTCTAAATCACTCTCGGTATCAGTATTCAGGAACTGAGTCATCGACCGCAGCGCACGCTCCACACAGACACAGGATGCTAGCTCAGTTTTCGGCTTCTCTGCTCGGTAGCTCACCAGGAGGACCTGCTTAGTTAGTGTTAATTCTCACTCTGTCATGTTTGAAGCCACAACATTCGGTACAGACGACCTTTAACGCCCCTGCGGCTTCTTTTTAAACTACAGAATGGCAGACTCGTGCAAAGAAAAAATGGTTTAGGACCAGCTTTTGGAGTTTAACTGTAATTATTTTGAAGATATGCTGATTTCAGATCAGCTGAAGACTTTACTGCTTCTCTACAGGTCGACAACAACTATCTAAAAGTTCTTGGGTTGGTGTATTTTTTGGCTTTCCTTGAATAACTGGCCAAGTATAGAGCCCTGGTGGAGTTTGATTATGTTTGTAAACTGGGTCATCAGACACTACGGGGTGGTGCCCACCAGGGTGATTTTTTCCCTGCTGAAAACACCAGGCGCTCTGTAGGAAATACTTAGCTGGAAGCACTTGAGGGTGCCTTGGAAGTAGCGTTCTTTCAGCTGAGATGCTTTGGTTGCACCTGGTTGTTATGATGCAGTAAAGCATTTGCTGAGGATGAAGGGAAGGCTGGAGCAGGTAGAGACGGAGGATGGACCTGCTGGTCTGTGTGGGTTCATGAGAGGAAACATATATTGATGTATACACAGTATGTTAACATACTTCTCCTTTATTGTTGGTGTTGTTGTTCAGCACTTGTACATGTAAGATGTGACGGTTGGTCTTTGTGGTATTTGTCCGTTCCCCATTGTGAATGAATGGTTGGCTAAAAAGTGATAGTAATTTACACAATGTTGAACATTTTTTTCAACTCTAAAAGCATCTCATCATGCCAGTGGTGTAGTGGAGGGTATACACAGGCATACCTACCCAACCTGGTCTCACTGTGAAGTCATCGAATTGGGTAGTGACTTGCGGCATCGGACACCGACGAACAAAGCCACCCTTTAACGTCGGCATGATAAGCGTCTGGTCACCGTTATAGTTTAACAGCACCTGGCAGCATTAGGGGGAAATGGAGTGGGACTTGAGCAAAAGTTAATGTGGCAAAAGATTGAGTGGGGTGGGCAGGAGGCGTAATGGGTGGGATCAACAAACACCAACTTTAATCTGGGAGAGCAGTGTTCAAGTCCCACAAGATTTTCAAGTCAAACCTTGTTGTTTTTTCCTAAACCCAACCACGTGTTTTTGTTGTTGAAGGAAAACAATGTCAGTGGGTGGTGGTGGTGTTCCTGTGAAAACAGAAGTGTATTTTTAAAGAAGACAATCAGGGTTGCACGTCGTATGTAGACATGCAAAGTCCATGACCAAACGTGAAGAAGTCGGAGTGAGAATGTGTTGACCTACCTTGTTTTCTGACTATTTACAGTATACCCGCCTATCAGCCAAAAAGCCACAAGAATATATATGAGTATACCCACTTCCTTGTCAGTAACCTCCCCATCTACCTCGTAGCACACTTTCCACATCAACTGCCATGACACCACTGCAGCACACTGCTGGTATTTGTAAGGTATTGTGATCCAGTTTGGGAATTTTCTGCATCAATTTATGGCGTTAAATCACTTTAATTTTGTCAGACTAAAAGCCTTCTGCCACTTTCATGGTTTTATGGGTGGAGACAAATGCATATGTTCTAAAACAGAGGTTCTCAACTGGTGGGTCTTGGGTCTTTTCTGGATGGACTGCAAGTGACTCACGAAAATATCAAGCTTGTAAAAAAACACTTTATTTTAAAGGACAGTGAATTTCTGGCACAGAGCTTTTATTTTGAAGTGTCTTTTCCTGCTGTAGAGTGAGTGACTAATTGACAAATATTTGACAGTGACAGCAAACTCCCTCAGTGACATGGCCAACTCAAGTATGACGCTGAATGTATTAAACTGTGTGGACCTTGAACTGATGACTGAGGAGAAATCTGGACCCCGTGGCTGCACCAGTTGGGAACCACTGCTCTAAATATTTAGGGTAATGTAAATAGTATTTTTACTGTATCAGTATTTTGAGATATTCCAGAGTAAAAGTCCCACATTTCTGCCTTGAAAATCTGAAACTTGAATTGCCAATTTAAAAAAAACCCCAACAAAACAAAACTAGTTGCTCCATAATTCCTGATAATAACTAAAAAAAAAGTCCATAGATTAATTTAAACCTATCTATCTATCTATTTATATATATATATATATATATATATATATATGTACTGTATATATATGTACCCACAATGACATCAAACTTAATTGATCAAAAATATTGGCTCATAAATTTTTTGTAAATTGTAGTTGCTTCACCTGACAGTGTTTATCAGAGGATAATTACAGATAACAAGCAGCGTCATCTGCGTATAGTCACACCACAATAATTACAGATGACATTCCTCATATCATGTCACTGCTGATAAATATAAAAGAAGCCATTTCATACAACAAATTCTGAGCTCTTTAAGTGTTTTACTGTGTATCATGACATATAATACGCTAACGTGAACAAAGCTAAGAGAATATAGACCAGCAGACAGAGTGGGTTGAGGTTAGATGTGGAGGAGGAGGAGGAGGAGTCCTTGGTGGTGTTACCATCTTCAACTCCATTTTCAGCAACAGCTCCCATTGATAAATTGTCTGTGGCATCTGCAGGTAGAGAGAGATGACAGGTCAGCCTTTAAAATGCAACAACGTGAGTGTAAAACATAATTTACAGCAGTGGTTCTCAACTCGTGGGTCACAGTCCAAAAGTGAGTCCATTCTGAATGGACTTTATTTCAAAGTACAGTGAATTTCTGGCGCATAGCTTTTATTTTGAAGTGCCATTTCCTGCTGTAGATCAATTGACTAACGGACAGCTACTTGACAGAGACAGCAAACTAGCTTGACGACATGGCCAAACAAAAGTGTGATGCTGAATATATTAAACTGTGTGTACCTTGAACTGATGACTGAGGAGAAATCTGGACCCTGTGGCTGCACCAGTTGGGAAACACTGATGTGAAAAAAAAATCATGACCATACGTGAACCCGCACAGTGTCTATCCAAGCTCGACCCATGGCAGCAGTTTTGGGCCTGAGCCTGATTAAAAACCTGAATTATTAGGGCTAGGTTTTAAAAAAAATCTATCTTACATGTTGAAATTTTTTTTAAATCTTAATACATAGTGGCATGGTGGTCCAGTGGTTAGCATTGTTGCCTCACAGCAAGAGGGTTCCTGTTTGAACCCCAAGGTGGGAGAGCCTCTGTGAGCCGTTCTCTTCATGTCAGCACAAGCTAACACAGCACAGCGTGATTTTATCACTACTTGTCATATTTTGATGCTTGGGCAGAAATCGTGCAGCAGCAGTTAACATCCAACACTGAGCTGTTAATCTCCCACCAACACTGAAACGGCTTGACTCTGTCATTAAATCTGTTAATAACCTTTGGGTAACATTAGCCGTGTGATGCTAACACTTAGCCCTGTCACTGTCATTTGTGTGACTCCAGGCGCAGAGCTCTGGTCCACAGCAGCAGCAATAGTCAAAGAGAGAGGGGCTGCATGAATCAATACACTGCACGCATCTCTACGATTAAATGACTTTACCCATTTTAAACAGTCAAATTTGTGCTAAAGTTGCAGTGATTGGACAAAATTGACACAGAACTCGCAGGGATTGGCTGAATTTGTGTTAGCAATCACAACATCCTGGAGGGACTGATAAGTAAAACACGGAAGTGATCATAGACCAGAAGAGTCTGAAGTTACCTGAGGAGGAAAGATTCAACAGGTTGTCTTCATCTCGCCATGGTGAGAAGAGTGTCCAAAGGTTTTCAGGTATGAATAGAAAGTAGTTTGATTCACCACTGCCACTGAATGAATCATCTTCGTCATCTTCATCATCATCATCTGTGTCATCATGGTAATTATCTTCATCTCCCATGGATAAAATGATTGCAGCACCTACAGGTAAACAAAGACAGAACGAGCAATTAAAGTTGCATTAAAATTGTAACAACAAATCACACAAAAAAACTGTGGTTTGAACGATTTTTGGTTGCAGCCTCTGAGTGATGTCTGCTGATGACCACTTGTCATTGGGTGGATAAGTTATGTTTCAGCTCAGTCGCCAAAAGAAAATGTTCACATTGTATGTTTCTGCAAACCAGAAATACATTACATTTGTATGTTTCATACGTATCAACGTTTCCATAGTGACGTAGTATATGAGCTGACTTAATCATTGAAGGGTGGAGGGGATGGTGGATGGTGTGACACCAAGGCGAGACGCTGCTGACCACTGTTCAAGATCAACCAACAACAAAACCAGTTGTTTTTTAACGATTCATAGCCGTGTGTCCCACAGATTTTAAGCCACGAAACGTGGTTGTTGTCC